TATACCATGGGGGAGGGACATACAAAGCAACAAAGAAATCATCTTATAAATATGTTAGAAACAATAGCAAGAAAGAAAAACCATTTGAGTCCTTATCTTGGGGTTCATTTCACTAACATCAACTTGTCTGACCATTTCTGTTTGTCTCAGAGATATACTAGTTATTGCAAATAAATTTTTTGTATTTTGTTTTAGAGATAAGGTCTCACTGACTTTACCCTAGCTGCCCTGGGACTTAAGATTCTCTTGTACTGAAGTTTGATCTCAGAGCCTCATGCTTGCTTAGTATTTGCTTTACCACTTGAGCTGTGACTCCAACCCTTTTGTATCTTCTTAGTTTCAGCTAGTGTTTCTATTTTTTGTCCAAGATGAGCCTGGGACCATAATTTTCATATATGATCGCCCATAGTATGGGCTACAAAGTCCACCTTATTGATTGAGATGGCATCTTGCCAACTTTTTGCACAAGTTGGCTTTAAGCCACAGTCCTTCTGATCTCTGCCTCCTAAGTAGCTGTGATTACAGGTGTGAACCACCATGCCTAGACTATAATGCATTACTGAAATTCTCCTTGTTGCCAAATTGGACCATTCCCATATCTGAGCCTCTACGTTTCCTTGGACATAACTTCTCTGTTGCTCATAGCATATGACAGTATACTTATTGACTTGTGTTATCCATATTCCTTATTAGGTCCTAAGCTCTGTGTAAATGATACCCATGTCTTTGTTGTTGTATGCTTTTCATCTCTTTCATGATATGTGCATGTGCATGTGCATATGTATATGTATGTACTAGAGCTTGAACTCAACCTTACAATCTCATTTTTTGCCCACCACTGGTGCTCTACCACTTAAGCCACACCTCCAGTTCCTCATACTCAGTATAATCTTTTTGTGTGTATGGGGTAGGGGGGAGGGTGAGTATTGAGGCTTGAAGTCAGGGCTTAGGTACTATCCCTGAGCTTTTTTTGTTCAAGACATCACACACTACTATTGAGCCTCAGCTCCACTTCTAGCTTTTTGATGGTTCTTTGGAGAGAAGAGTATCATGAGCTTTCCAGCCTGGGCTGGGCTTCAAACCCCAACCCCCTCAGCTTCTTGAGTAGCTAGGTTATAGGCACGAGCCACCAGCACCCAGCCCTAGTATAATATTAATGCATCTTAATACCAAATAATATTAGGTTAATGAATGAGGAGAGAAGTGAATGAATAAACAATCAAATGAATGTAAGCCAAAAATTAGACAGGTTGAGATATCTGGCCTTTATTTTCCAGTGTTCAGGGAAGTCGAGTTGTCAAATGTATTTATTTATAAGGAAATAAGTACTCTAAAGTATCTATGGGCATCTGTCTCATGTGTTTAACATGAAAGTTGATCTAAATAGAAAAGCAGTCTAACACAATGCAAAGTACTGCTCTTGGCAATCAATAAGTTCTAGTACTGTTTTTGTCATTCCATAAGGAGAAACCTGTTTTGGTCTTGAGATTTTTTAATTGATTGAATGAAAAGGTTAAATTTAATAACCTTTTCAGTACTATCTATCATGGTTTAGTACAAATGCAGAAATTTACTTTTCAGACTGATATGAAAATTTGAAAAGAATAAAAGTTAAAGCTGCCAGGCACCCGTGGCTCATGCCTGTAATCCTAGCTACTCAGAAGGCTGAGATCTGGGGTTCAAAGCCAGCCCGGGCAGGAAAGTCTGTGAGACTCTTATCTCCAATAAAACACTAGAAAACTGGAAGTGGCACTGTGGCTCAAGTGATAGAGTGCTTGCCTTGAGCTGAATAGCTGAGGGACAGCACCCAAGCCCAGAATTCAAGCCCTACAACCGACAAAAAAAAGCTAAGCATTGGTGTATAATCCTAGCTACTTAGGAGGCTGAAATCTGAGGATTGCAGTTTGAAGCCAGCAGCAAGAAAAGTCCATGAGACTCTTATCTCCAGTAAATTACTCTAAAATGCCAGAAGTGGCACTGTGGCTCAAGTGATAGAGTGCTCATGTTGAACAAAAAAAGCTCAGGGACAATGCCTAGGCCCTGAGTTCAAGCTTCAGGACAAGCGAAAAAAAGAAGTTACAAAAATATGTAGCTGACATTTGTGTGCTGGCCCCTTCAAAAAATTATCTTACTTCGTTTTTTTTTTGTTTTTGTTTTGTCAGTCATGGGGCTTGAACTCTGGACCTGGGCTGTCTCTGAGCAATTCAGCTCAAGGCTAGCGCTCTACTACATGAGCCACAAGTGGGGGGTGGAGGGGGCTGGGAAGGTGGATCAGTGGTAGAGTGCTTGCCTTACATACATGAGGCCCTGGGTTCAATTCCTCAGGACCACATAAGCAGAAAAAGCTGAAAGTGGTGCTGTGACTCAAGTGGTAGAGTGCTATTTTTGACCTGGAGAGCTGAGGGACAGTGCCCAGACCCATAGTTCAGGCCCCATGACTGGCAAAAAAAAAAAGTCTCATGGACTTTGCTGCCTGGGCTGGCTTTGAACCATGATCCTCAGATCTCAGCCTCCTGAGTAGCTAGGATTACAGGTGTGAGCCACCGGCACCCGGCAAAATTATCTTATTTATTATTCATAACATGTTACAGAAAATAAAACTTTAGCAAGAGGAAGTTTAAGTGTTTTAAAGGATATTTCTTCTAACTTTCCATCAGTTACCAATGCTAAGAGACAAGTTAATGTGACTTGAAAGCCTGCAGTACAACCAGGCACAGTGGCACATGCCTGTGGTCTCAGCTGTGCAGGGGCTTTGGCAGAAAGATCACTTGAGCTCAGGAGTTCAAGACCAAACCAAACAACAAACCAAAACAACAAAAATGTAAAGCCTAGTAATAGAGAATTCAGCACTAAACAAGACAATTCCATTCATCATGGCCATCAAGTTTAATAAACTCTACCTTGTATAGACTTGCAAACTGCCTCGTTATATGGTTTACTCATGGATTTTCTGGGAAACCCTGGGACATCTCAGGTGACTAGTTCTTTAAAAACAGTCTTCCAGAGTTTTGAAGACAGCTTCCTGGATTAACAAAGCAATTAATGTTACACCTGTTCTGAGATATATTTTAAAATGTGATGTGCTCTGAACAAATAATAAAATTTACCAATATTGTCCTGGTTTTTCCCTAAACAAAGCCAATGCCTGTAGGTCCTTTACCAAGATTGCCATTTACTAATGTGCAGATGTCTTTTAAATTTCTTCATGAAGGCAAAATATCTCACAATTTGACAATCTATTGTTATATTGAAACTAAATATACCAATTTATAATTAGACAATTCTTCATCCAAAACAATTTGGTATATGAAAGTGTTCATAATAAGTGAGCTATATTAAAATTCTGAGAAAATCCTAGAAGAATGCACAACTAAAATCTGTTGTATTTCTCAAATATCTTGGTTTTGTTGTTGTTCTTGTTTTTTGTCTTTTTTTTCTTTCTTTGTTATCTTTCACTTGTGTATTTATTTGGCAGACCGGAAGCATTATATGCAGCTATAAGTAAGAAACCTGTATCTGCAGCCTGTCCAGTTGGAGAAGGTAAGTTTTAGCAATTTGTAAATTAGATAAGACTCAGTTATTTGACTTCACACGTGGCCATTCTCCCTTTTTCAGTGTCACAGAGTTTGTGAGGTTAGGAAATCCTGTCCCTGTCTATTTCATATGACTATAAAAGATACAGAAAAAATATGGCTGGAGTATTGGCAGTTTTAGAAAATCAGTACTATGAAAATTCAGCGTAGATGGCTAATTAAGATTATACTTTAAATTTTTTTTTAAACTTACAGATATTCAGGAAGAAAGGAAATTTCAGTGTACTTAGGTATTTGTAAATGTATTTAATTATAATGTGGCATATATATTATTAAGTAGAATT